TTCCTATAACCTCGAGACGTCTGAAGTCGCTTAGAATGCTTTGTAAAATGTAACAACTTTAACCATAACAATAAACATGTTATTTTTACGTTCACCGCGATCTTAGCGTTAACCGTTTATTGTGGCTTACAATTTGTTTAGGACCAATAAAAGGAATAAAAATAAAACCAACATTCATAAGTATACGGCGTGAAGTTTTTAAATGTGCGTGAATGGCGAATTTATACGTAATAAAATTCACTACCAGTTGTACCAACTTTAATTAATAAATAAAACAGAATGTTTTTTTTAATATAACTAAATATGCACGTAAAGTTTTTATACATATCAAGTGCCATAATTCTTTACAATATATTTGCTTTTCTCTATAGTTTCAAATTAGCCCATACCTTGACAAGTTCACTGAATAACATTTCGATAGATCTTCGCTGCCTCCATTTTTTCAGTTACAGATATATGTGTGCTTTAAACTAGCTTCCTCAACGTTGTGCCTCATCTAACAAAAACTTGGGACAGATTAAAAAGAAAACATTTATGTAAGGAACAAAAGTATTTTTTTTAATCAACATCGTCTGCCTTAGTTGTAATTTTAGCGACATGAACCGTTTACCAAGAAAAATTAAAATATGGCTGACTTAATATAAAATTGTACCTATTTTTAGTAATGTTTTCTCTCTCCTTGAATGTCTATGTCGAATAAGATTCCTCTAATATTTTTATCCTTTATACCCTTTTAAGAAACTAAGTTAAGAGCCAAAGCTCTAGATTCTATGAAACTTGTACATTTAATTTATTTTGCTGATATAATGAATTAGTTGAATGAAATATTTTTGAAACTCAAAAGGGTTGTATATTTAGAAAAATATACTCATTTTGAAATATTTTTATTAGTTATTGAATTAGAATCTTCGAAAACATATTTACCTACGTATGAGTGCGAAAATAATTCTTATTAATTGTTTTTTTAAATATCTGCACTTATAGACAAAAGATTTTTAGGAAGACTTTTTCGCTTTAATCGTAGGAAACCATAGAAGTTGGATGCCATAACACTAATTTGCATTCAGAATCAAGAAACTATAACTTCTTAAATTAAAATATCTATCCCAATATATTATCTCTAATAGAACAATAAAAATATATGAGAATAACTGGTTCTGACTACTTGACTTAAATATTAGCTGATAAATTAATGTTATTTCCATAAAAGAATCAATTTCATATCAGAGATGTCAATTTAGTTAAAAAATAAATTCCAATATGTTCTATAAGATATTATTAAGTCTTATAAGACTCAGTTGGGAATTTTGTTAAATATTTCTAAATCGATATATCGTCGCTTTAGTTCTTATTTTCCAAAGTACCAAAACTTGTTGGACACAACAGTAAAGAGTTTTTTCCCTCTATTATAACAAACCTTTATATTATCTAAGATTTATGTCTTTACTCTACCTTTTATACATATAGATATATACATATAAGTAAAATATTAATAAAAAAATTGTTTTTACAGTTTCCGGCTTTTTTAATATGACTATTATTACTCTATGTAATTGTAGTAGGTATATTAACTTCGATGATCGATTACGAAGTTTGTATATGTATATATATATATATTATTATTATTATTTGTTGAAGCGGCTAAATAATACAACCTTAGTGAAAATTTCAACTCTCTACCTATTACGTTTCATGTGTTACAGCCCTCTGACAGATGGACGGTGGGACGGACAGACTGACAATTACGGAGGCATAGTACTGGGGTTCTGTTGGCACTTGGCGCCCTTCGGGTACGGAACCCAAAAAATATTAACCAGAATAATATTTTTTGTCTATAAAGGTAGCAATAGTGTTGTTTAATATTCTAAACTTTTATTTTTTGTAATTGCAATCTAAATTAATGTTTTAACTTCTTTTAAATTACATATAAATCAATAATATTGCTTGAATAAATAACGAATATTTTTAATATTTCAATATTTTTTATGGTTATACATGATATCATAATAGCAGCACTAAATAATATAAGTAATTAATAAAGTTAAAAAAATGGTTTTATTTATAATAATAACAGCTAAAATTAAATATATAATATTGCTATACTTAATTAAAATAATTATATATTTTTTTTAAATTTAGAAATAAAAATCAACAAATATGGTAAGGTACTTTGGTGCCATTTTTGAATTTCTAAAATCATTTTTGAAAAATAGTGGGTAGGCACTGTCTGTAACAAGTTAACGCCTTTGGGACTTCTATAACCTTAGCCTCTCCCATGACCATAAGGTTGTAAAGCAATCGAAACGTCGGGAACAAAAAATCAAAATAAATCCGCGAAATAATTCGAAAAGATAGTTTTATTTAAAATGTCAAATATTCTTGTAAATCTAATAAAGTATTATTTGTTATCTATTAATAATGCTTAAAATTTTCTAAGTATTAAGGATTTATGTCTATCGTAATATAATCGTAAACAAATCAGTCAGATACTTAACAATTAGCCAATTACGCCGATACGTACAAGGGTTGTTGTAATAACCTAAGATTGCCCATTTCTAATTAGCAACATTCCCAAGATTAGAGATTAATTTAGTCGATTATCACTACTATATAGGTATGTATATTCATGAAAATATATTTAACAAATGTTGTATATCTATATTAATGTATAAAGCTGAAGAGTTTGTTTGTTTGTTCGCGCTAATCTCTAGATTTACAATAGAAATGAAAAAATATCTTTTTGTGTTGTAGGCCTATTTATTGGGGAAGGTTATAAGCTATATTACACTATCTACAAATATTCTATTGGTACAAAATGAGAAGAAGAGCCACGAAAAATCCCTAGTTTTAAATATGACTAGCATTGCCCGCGGCTCCGCCCGCGTTCAGATGACCAAAAACCAAATTCTTAGGTTTTACATATTAGTATATTCTTACATTGCAGTTTTTGTATTTTTTCTTAGAAATGAGATATTTTCACGCGGTAAAAAGTATCCTATATATTGACCCGCATAACCAGCTATCACCATAATAAATTTCATCAAAATCCCTCCAGTGATTTTTCTGTGATGCGGTAACAGACAGACAGACAAAAATTCTAAAAACTATAGATTCAGCCTCTGTATCGATAATAATGACTATTTAATAAGATTTTCCAAAAAATATTTAGTGTACAGATTCGGCTTAGTTACAATTTTATTTCATGTCTAGATAGATAACATCTATAATATGGTTAAAACTTAATTAATCTATAACATCTTATGATTGACAGAATACACATCCTAAGCTGATGGGTCTAAGCTGAAGCGTAAAGCTTTGTAGTTCCTTGTATAGCTTCGTAAGCTCTGAGAAAGAAGTTTTGGCAATTTAAAGTTTAGAAAAGAAAATCGTCATTTGATTTATGAAATAGACACTTATTTAATAAGGGTCGGAGTGAAATGGCAGGACATTACTTAATGTTAAAAAATTATGTTTTAAGCAATTTATTGTTTTTAATAATCCATTTATTATGTTCTGTGTTCGTTCTCCGTTTTTTATATACATTTTTATACTTTATCATATCTTCAAAGAATCAACCTTAGCAATTGTAAGCTCTAGTTAAGTTTAATAATAAAATTAATTAATACGTTTTGCAATTCAGTTATAAAAAATATAACAATGTTGTGCATTATTATGGAAATCCTGTATAACTTGGCACTCGTTTAATCTATATTTTTTTTACTAATACGCTGTAATTATACTGTAGGAAACTTTAGCCCCTTATTGAGTTTAGATTTTTATTGATAGCGAATATAATTTTTATATATAATATTTGAAAAGTAACAACATTAGTATTTTTAATAAATAATATAATTGAATAAATTTATCGAATTATTTTCTTGCAATTCATTTTAAGTGTAATCAATAATACTTAGAGCTATCGAATAATGAACAAAATATCATCAACTCAAAGAACAGAAACAAATTTTATTCAAAGCCTAATAAAACATAAAAGAACTTTCACAAAAATATATTATTTAAGAATTACCAAGTTCTCATTTCGTTGGTGAAATTATATTTTTATATAATTAAACCTAATTAAGGATTTGTTTTAACATTAATATTTCGTAAATGAAAGACATAATGAGTATCAAAACGTCAGTATAATTTTATTACGGTTTCAAGATATCTTTGTACATTTTATACAAAACAATAATTTTATTAAGACTAATAATTACAATTTAAAAATTACATTTATTTGCAAATTCATAATTATTAAATCTAATATCACGATTTAACTTAGTTATTATATAAGTTGTCAAGCAATAATCTAAACGATAACATCGCAAACATATTTTATACATCTTAATAAAAGCGCTCTGCTCATATAAATGTGTTAAATGCGTAATAAATTATTATGTTCAAAATACTTGTGAAATAAATATAATATGAAGTATATAAAAATAGGTAAATACTAAATACATATAATATTTTATTGTAAAATATATTAAAAATAACATTCTACGAATAATATGAAATCCAATTATATTTTGAAGCAACGAAAAATTTATAACAACATAAACCATAAAATATAAAGCCAATGGAATAAAACAATATAATTTTTATGTGAAATTTACAATTCTCTTACACTATTTGGTGTTGTTTTACAGTGGATTTTGTGTGAAAATATATCACATCAATAAACTTTATAAATACAATTAATAATATAGTTAATATTTGAAAAATGTTTACGTTATCAGACTTAACATTTTCACACGAACTTTGTACAAAATATCGTATCAACATTACAGTATTAGTTTATTTTACCTTTTTGTTATTAACAGGTAGGTCGATTTACGTATGTGAAAATTGACCAAATATACATACATTAGTATACTCAATTACAATATATAATATATACAATTCAAAATAAATACGACTATCCAAAAAGTGCCATTAGTGTAACAATAAAGAGGAATAATGCAATTATTCAATTTAAGTGTAAATGTAGAATGTTTTCAGACAAAATAAGTGCGACCTTTAGCAGTAGTGCTCGTAATAGAACGAGATACAGTGGGAGATATATCTTCGACCCTAGAATAATCATGACCACTACTTGGGGAGAGCCTGAGGTCATAATTAAAACGGGGACATGTCCTGTTGTCAATAGACATGTAACTATTGTTCGAATTGTTCCCTTCCCCATACGTGTTATCCGACGAAGGAGAACTTTCATTCTGCGATGTTTCCCCGTCGTTCCTCTTGTAATATTGCAAAGAATTCGAAAAATTCTGCCTTGAACAACTATCGTTTGTGACCGGCATTGTAGTGTATCTTAACGTCGGGGTCTGACGTAATGACTTCTTGAATACGCTCTTCTCGGAGCTCTTTACAGTGATAATGGTGTCGGTTGAATTAAGTAAAACGATAAATCTATCCCAGAAACGCGGGTCGTTCCACGATATATTTTTAAACTTATCTAATACAAAACAAAGTTCGTCGTTTATTTGGTTGTTATCTACTATCTTAATGAATATTACCTTATTCAAATCACTACGATTCAAAGACTTTAAATAGCTATAAAACATATTCTTGAAATGAAAATCACAAAGATCGTTACAAATAAAATTGGTCGTTAAAACAATGAGAAGACGTTTAGATAATTTTGAAGATTTTGAAAAGCTATCTAACGTTAGTATATTCAAGGTGGATTCATTTAATGGAAACTTTTTTGAGGACATTTTTCTGAATTCTATCTCTGACATTATGTTATGATAAATGAAATGAGTATCTTTGGTATTACATATCACATAGTAATCGTACACGTGATTCGGATTTCCCTCCAAAACGTGATCAACATTGGGACATGACTGTTCTTTAAACAAAGGTACACCGTATTTAGTGTACAACCAATCACTGACATCATATCTGAAAGCATAAAATATAGCACCTATAAGACATATTATTACTACAATAATTATAACCCCACATATAATCGCAAAGTAGTTATTAGGAAGAAATAAGGACTTAGAAACGATTTCATTCTTTGAAACCGATGGATCACTTATTGATCCTAGATATTCCTTGCAATGACTTAAAACTGATGCAATTGTTATTTTGGTTGGTTTTCCCTCAGTATCAGAACAAAGCATTTTTTCTGGATCTCCTGGGTCTTTACGAAGCCAAGTATCTAATTCTGCTATACTTTTACAATCACAAGAATATTGATTACCCTCTATAGAAACATGTGCTAAACTTTTAGAGGATGAAGCTAAAAGTTTCCAAGGGAAAAAATTGACAAGCTTATTGTCGTCTATTCTAAGAACTGACAGTGATTTTAATGAAGAAAATGTATTGTTTGCAACATGTACTATTGCATTATGATCTAGATATAGTTCATTTAAATGGTTCAAATGTACGAATTCATCCCCTTTCAATTCGACTAACTTGTTATTTTCCAAATGCAAAACTCTTAATGATTCGATACCTTTAAACGTTAGATTATTTACTTCTTTCAGCTTTGTATTATTTAGGTATAAAATTTGCAACTTTTTTTTACCAATGAATATATGATTGCCCAAATTACTGATATCATTTCCGTCTAAATATATTTCAGTTGCATCCATTGGAATTCTATCCGGCACCTCTGTATACCCGGCGTTTGAACAGTCTACCACATTAGCGTTCCACGTAATATCATGATAGCATCGACAGTTATTTGGACAAATCATTTCACAATCACAAGCAACAAAATCACAACAATGACAAAGAGCAAAGCAATGACTTTCGTATGGACATAGAAAGTCAGAAGGTGACATATCTATTATCTTTTTTTTCTCTTTAATACGCGAATGAACCAATGAACAAAACGCTTTATCGAGATCTAAAACACGTGGGTATTGTCGGCTGTGACTTAAATAATTGATTCGTTGAATCCATTCCATAGAACAGTCACAAAGAAATGGATTTCCACTTATAAAGAACTCGGGTAAGTCGTTATCTTCATTTATTTGATCTAATCTGAAGGCATTCATGTCAAGCTGTACTATTTTATTATTGTTTAATGTCACAATTGATAACCTTGACAATTTTGAAAAAGCGCCGACATGTATATGGCGTATGCTATTATCATTTAAATATAGTTTTTCAACTGATTTTGGTATTGATGTCACTGTTAATTCCGTTATATTATTATAACTTAAATCCAATAGTTTTATGTTAATATTCGAATTCATATCGTTATTGTAAAATGTGTCAATGTAATTCATATGTAAATCTAGCCAGTCTAAGCTGCTTGGAAAACTGTCAAAATCAAAAGATGAAATTTTATTTGCAGACATATTTAACCATACTAAACTATTTAATGTAGAAAATATTCCGTCAAACTTTGTAATTTCGTTACCGTCCATCCGTAGTAATTTTAATTTAATATTTTTACGAAAGCATCCAGACGAGACTATTTTTATTTTATTAGACGCTAAATTAAGTACCTGCAGCTGAGATAAATGTTCAAAAGTATCTTCGTTTAAATGAGTAATTCTGTTATCTACAAGACGCAAACCGAAAAGTTCTGTCAGACCTCGAAAGTTTTCTCGGTTTAAATGGGTTATATTGTTGTTCCCTATGTCCAAGGATCTGAGGGATCGTAATTTGCGAATTGAAGAAGGAATCGAGGGTAAAAAGTTATCATTTAAGCCTAAATCCTCAATCGTAGTCATATTGTCAAAAGCATTTTCGTCTATGTGTCTGATTTTGTTATTGTCCAGAAATAGTTCGTGTATTACGTGCAAATCTGTAAAAATGTGTGTATGAATATGCAAAAGTTTATTATTTGAGAGCGTAAGTGAATGTAGATTTCTCAGTTCTTCAAATGAATGCTCATCTATAGATGCTATTTCATTATGTTCTAAATTCAATTTTTGCAAACTATATAAGTCCTGAAACATATAGCGGTCTATTCTATTAAGTCTGTTAAAAGAAATATTTAATATAACCATACGCAATAACCCTACGAATGTGCCCTTATTTATCCACTGACTAGTTAGTTCGTTATATGAAATATCTAACACTTGGAGTTGTTCCAAGCCTCTAAAGAGTCCAGGCGGTAAAACATTTATTGTATTGTTACTTAAAATAATTTCCTTAAGAAATTTTGTATCTGAAAAAATATCAGGCGGTATACTGTTCAAAAAATTACTTGACATGTTCAAAACTTGTAAACTAATAAGGCCCTCAAAGGCGCCGTCTTCGAGAGTTGAAATTGCATTATTCTGCAAAAATAGTTTCAACAATGAGCGCAACTTAGATAAGCTATTTTCTGCTATAACAATCAAATCGTTATAAGACATATCAAGAGCTTCTAAAACTAAATTACAACTTTTTATACTTAAGTTTTGTTCTCGTAAAGAATCAGAGAAACCAATAGTTTTAATGTTCTGCAAATGATTTTTAGTCAAATTTAAGGTTTTTAAACTATACAATGAACAAAAGGTTTCAGTTTTGGTACTCCAGATATTATTGTCACTTAAATCTAGTTCAATTAACTCACTTAAGTTCGTAAAAGCATGTTCATTTAACTCCATAGTTATTGCAGACCATTCACTGTTGTGCGTTGTAATGTGCAGAGATTTAAGGTCTTTGAAATTCTCGAACGCATGTGCCGGTATCTTACGTATCTTACATTTGTCAATGACAAGATCTCTTAGCTTGTCTAGATTTGAATGTTTTCCAGATGTCTTTTCCGTTTGTGCTGCAAGCGTGCTCTCGAAGAATAGTATCTCACTACATTGTACATGCAACGATGTTATATCGTCAAAATGGGTTCGACTGATATTTTGCAAGAGATTATCCAAACTGCTTATAGTTCGAATTTTGCAAAAAAGCACAGCATCTTCAGACGAATCCATCTCGGGTGCGCGATAGGCGCAGTCGTGCGGCATAGCTGTCGCGATGCTCCTTTCGACAACATAGTAGAATAACACATACACAATAAAATGATAAAAATTTCGACGCTGAAGTCTATTCACAATAGTTTGTTTTATTGGCATTTTATGTTCGTTTGCGAGTTACGGTGAGGGATCGACGTCGGCAGTGCCATTTATAATGAGGCGAAGTAGTTGATCGCGTCATAAATATTCACGCGGTAGGAATAACATCGCGAGTCGCGTGGCATGTCAGCGTAGGTCGCGGTCGTAACAGGCGTATGTCGCGGTTGACGGCTGCCCACCGACTGAGCGGCGCTTTGTAGCTCCGCCCTACGACGCCCGACGCCCGCCGCCACCCGCCCGGCGAGTCTAAAGAAACTTCATCTCATAGGTAACATAATTATATTCAGAACTGCGAGTGCATACAAACAGTAAACTATTCCTGTATTCTTCTTAGATGCATGTTTAAGTAATAATTTTATAATTCTTATTCCTGCAATATGTATATACACCAGTAATTGCTTTTCCGCATTATATGTACATTGTAAAGGTCGTTTTAAGTTAGAAGCTTTTATAAAATGAGTGAAGCTCATATGTGAAGTTACTTTTAAAAATTCATTAGATGCAGAAAGTTAGCATATTACAACTTTCCAAAAGAAAAAGAAAAATGGTTAATCTCACACTTTTCGTAATGTTCTTTAAAAAAGGGACTAATATCGCGACATCTCGAACACCTGTTGTGTTGAACAACTTCGCTAAACTTTGTACTTCGGGTGAAAATGAGATAAAAGCCTTGCAAAATAGTTTTCTGGGACACCACATGTTTCTCGAGTTAACATTTTCACTTTGAACAGCCAATGGATACTGCAATAACGTACTTACTAGACATAAATTAAATTAGGAAAAGTCAATACTAAGCTTTGTTAAGCTTAGTAATTTTTTTATAACTAACTCGTCCCGTTGTTAATATACGATTCCCACCTTATGCAGAAGTGCGTAAAATTAATATCTCGGACTACAATCTATAGATCTTAATCAATGGAAATGTAACGAGGTTAGATTTGACTTTTTTTTTATTTTTGTTTAAAATGTTCTACGTGCTTATACCATAAAAATGGTTATGGACTGTCTAGATTCAAACGTTAAGAAATATGAAATACGTATATATACGTATAAGAAAGGTGACTGCTTCTTTTTTTTTATTATATCTACATTATTAAATACGACTTTTAATATACAATTAGGTGTATGTGCTTAACTATATGTAATTGTGATAGTACTTTTCTACTATAATTATTGTACAAAATATATGTAATTATACTAAAAACGATTATATCTAACTGATTATATAATCGTTATTAGTATCTTACTTCTTACCAATATTATGAAGTGAAAGTTTAGATGGATGTTTAGATATTTTCGTTACTCAATCACGCGAAAACGGCTGAACGGATCGGAATGAAATTTGGCACAGAGATAGATTATAGTCTGGAATAGCACATAGGTTACTTTTTATCCCAGTATTTACAATTCAAATTATATTATAATTTACAATTCCCGTGGGATAGATTTATTTCTGTTTTTCTAGTAGTTAGGTAGGTATATATAACGCTTAAAACCTAGTCAAGCAAGTAAAGTTAAATAATTAAGAGAAAATTCAGTCTAAGTATACTTATATAGTAATACCAAAGATTACTCGAAAGTAATACCACGTAATCCAAATCTGTAATTATTAAGTCTTTGTTAGAATTCGTTTTCATTATCCTATATTATTATTTTGAATTCTTTTGTTTGATAATTAATGTACTTAATTAAAATTTTAATCATGTGTAGAAAGTAACAAGATCAACGATTGTTTTGAATAAAATTTTGTGAAGGAGATCATCATTTTTCGGTCGACTTCGGTTCCACCACATGTTTATAATAATTTTCATATTGAGAAACAATTACTCAATTTTAAGATTTTAAATCTCTAAAGGTTTGGATTAAAATTTATTTTTATTCATAATATTTTTATCAATTACTGTTACATCCGGTTTTGTCTTTTTAAAACTGACTTATCTCTATACTACCGGAAAAAACATTTTTAACAATGGACACGTTCTCTGATCGTATCAACGAGCTTCTCAGTCCATAAGAAGTTTACGTAATAATTGGTTAGTATAGTTACGTGATTGACTACGCCATAGAACAATTTGTTGTTGATGGACCACCCATACATAATGAGGTAACGACTACAGGTGAATGGGATGTACAGATCCATCTTAGATAGAGGCTCTGTTAAGATGATCTTCGTGATGATTTGTTAATGCTTTTATTGGTTATAAGAAAATTGTAGCAGGGGATTTTAAAATAGCTTTATGTTTTTTTATATAATAAGATATTTTCTTTAATATTTTCTTATTGAAAGTATAAAATATTAGATATTAACGGATACGTAATACTAGTGTTCGCCTGCTTCTTTATTTGCTTATATATCTGTAGGTATAATTGCTACGTGCCTAAGAGTGTGAATCATGATGATAATAAGAATTTTAAATAGCCAATAATCCTTAACATCAATATAAATAGATTTTTTTTAAATAGCGCGTTCAGACAAACAAAAATTCTTCTCTTATCTTTATATATTAGTTCTATAGTTATCTCCTTTAATTTTTCAGGCAAACACTAACATAACTGTACTATTTGCAAACACCATACAGTAAATTATGGATTAAAAAGGGTTGCATAATCTACTCTTATGTAGATAAATACATATACCATTGAATCCTGTGACCATGGTAAAGGTAAGTTAATCAACGCATGCGAAAATGTAAATAGAACTATGTCACAATAACTGGTGGTTTGAGCGTTCAGTCAAAGCAAGTTTAGGCGACGTCATTCCATACATCGTCTAGAATATTAACTGGATATATGGCATAAAGACATGTTATAATGTTGTTGAAAGCTTTTCATATAAGTGATATTGAGAGTTGTGTAGTTTGCCCATATTTCCCCATTAATATAAATAAGAGGCTTTATCGCACTAAATTGTTTAATATGTTGATTATTAGCCCTGCTACTAATTATTTTGAGTAAATAATCGTTCAATTTTTTATTTGAATAGTCCTGAATGAGAGATTTTCTTGTACTAAAAGGTATTATAAATGTTGATCAGAGTAATTAGTTATCATTACACAAAACTTAGTTAAAATCGGCCCAGTACTTTTACATGAAACGCACATACACAAAAAGACAAAAAATATATTTCTTTTTCTTACTATTTTGTTATATGTACAAATATGTGTAGATATCATCAGTAATTCCTTTGGCGTGTCAGGAAAACAGTGTCACAATATCTGTACCGGCTATACAAATTCTCTTATAGTGCAATTATTTTATATTCTGTAACTCAACATCCTGAATCTGCAATCATACTTCTACACTTCTGACTGCTTATTCTTTGTTTTGCCTAGTTTTAAATAACAACTGTTGTCAATGTATTATCATTATTTTAAAATAAATATTATATTAGTAGGCAGTGGTAGTCCAGTGGTAACCAGCTCGCTTGAGAAATCGAGCGAAGCGGGTTCAAATCTGATATTTTCATGTGCGAATCATTTACAACATGATTACCACTTGTCTTATGGTAAGGGAAAACATCGTGAGGAAACCTGCATGTCTGAGAAAACCTAGCAAGTTTTCGAAAGACATGTGAAGTCCGCCAACCCGCACTTGGCTATGGCCTGATCCCCCCTCGTATTGAAGGGAGGCCCGTCCCCAGCAGTAGGACGTTAAAAAAAGAGCTGAATACATTATATTTTCAATAACCATGACAACAAAAACGTCTTCACAAATAAAAAAGGCAACAAGTTTGAGCATGCAAATAGCACTTCATTTTCCCTATATTGGTGTTTTTGATATAACATAAATTGCGTTGTCAATAAAATTTACATGGTTGATATGAAGAAATCTGTTTTTTCCCGACTATCACTAAAGCAGAAAAATATTTTCGAGTGTATGTCTATTCCTTGAGCTTTTTAGCCGCAAACACTTTGATGAATTTTAATATAATACAAGCTGTTTTTAGATAAAGTTTAAGATATCTAAATATAAAGTCCGCGAATCAAAAAACTATTATTGTATAAAAACAGTAACAGCGTATATACATAATTAAAAAAGACATATATTATTCTAATACTTTCATAACTCATAACTATTTTAAAATAATGTATTATATCTTTTGGTGAACCTATACCTACTTGTAGGTACCTATCATATTTTATTATAAACTAGGGATCACCCTCGCTTCGCTCAGGTTTATCCCTAGGTACGTTTCAACGGATAGTATGGAATAGATAGACTATATACATACCTATATACATAGGTACAAAATAAATAATTCTGAACTTTTTGATTTTCCAGCTGTTTTTTTTTGGGTTTTCCCTATATTTTTTCTATTTAAGCCACCCCTGACACACCCCTAGCAAAATAAAAAATTTTTATTCTAATCGGTCCATCCGTTGTCGGGTTTAAGAAGGACGAGCGGCAATTGATTTTTATTTTACTTAAAAGATAAATAAATTAAATAAACTTGATTTATTTTATATAAGCACCTTCCTAAAGAAAATTCTTTTCCACATTATTATCTGCGACTGGCTTCGCCTCAGCTATGACCCACAGTGTCGCACCCTACTCAACGCTAACAAACAATATGCATTTTTAAATACAGTCAACTTTTATGCTACGCGAAAAATGGGCCTTTCTCTTGCAAGAAAAAAGGCCTTTCTTTTAAGTCTACGTCAACATATTTCACAAGAATTTTTTATACTGCTCGAAATGAACAACACACATCTTTGGTTTTACGATTATGTTTTTGCTTATAAACAGCCGAATTTTAATCTTAGATAGGCACACAATAAAATATAATATGTATCTTACATAGAAAATTAGAACCTAAGAATTTTACCATGAGTATGTAAATTACATTGAAAATGAGAACAATTATTATTAAGAACTTATCCGATAACTTATTAAAACTACACAGGCACCTATTTTACACTCTAACTCTATTATTATATAATATAAGCATAGCAAAATTATAGATTGAAAAATTAAAATATGCAGTAAACACAATCTCTTAA